CACTAAAACTCACTACTGTTTCATCGGCTTCCAACGCCAACGCAACGTGCTGCAGTGAGCAGACGTGCAGGCAGGTAGGCGTTCCCTCGAACCGGAAAGGCTGAGATTGGCAAAACGACGGCGAGCAAATACAAAAGTAAATAAATGTTATAAAAAAACTAGTAATTAAAAAAAAAAACTTTTTTTTATTTTTTTTTTATTTTTGGGAATTTGGTCTGGAAGTATATTGGCGGCGACTTTGGACGTTTCGCCGATTGTCAAAAGTCGCGGCTTTGATAGCACAACATATTTTCCCACAATTAATGTAATTTTACATGGATTTCTCACATTAGCTAGAATGTTGTCATTGGTTTTAGACTATTTTTATTTTATTTGTAATTAAAATGCAGCAATTGGAACCAGTGATGATAATTAGCACAGTTTTCATTGTCATATTTCTTCGCGCGTTTAAAATTAGATCATAAGCAACAACTTATATTAGAGCTTCAAGAATTACTTATTCAAATATGTGAATTTTGATATTATTATTATTAATACAAATCGCGGCAATGTATGCCTCTAATTAGCGCCAAGATCACGAGAATACTCTGTTTAACCATAATAGTCTTTCCAGAAAGGTATAATTCTGTTTTCTTTTTAGCATATGAAAAACTCTGACATAGTTATCAAAATAGACAAACAGTAAAGCGTTGTATGTAATATGAAGTCCTACGCGTCACGCGGTGCTATAAAAACACACACACACACTTCAGATGTCTGACTCGGATTCCGTCTTGGGTTGTTGCAGTGAGAGCAGCGTTTATTAGTTTATGCGTTTCGTGGACATATTGTAAAAATTTGAGCTATTCTCTTATTCTTGTGCTGGGATAATTGTCATTATTTCCCATGACAATTATCTGAGCGAGAAAAAGGCAGCGAGAACGCACAGTTATCAGCACTGATGTTTTCAACAACTACGAATATCAGCCTGGATCGAACAGTATGTCACAGAATAAAGTTTCCGCGAACAACTTTTCTAAGTAAATAATTACGATGTGAGACACATCTTGAGTCATGAAAGAATCCGAAATTAAGACATCTATCGAGAAATTAAACCCAAAATAGAGGTAAGTTTCGGTTTCGCTCCAGAACTAAAATGCGCATCCTTCCGTAATTAATACGCTAAACACCGTTCTTGTTTTCAGGTTAAAGAGGTGACCTGCGCTTATAAAACATCAGCTTCCTGGTATTACCAGAAATAATTTGTGTTGCTCAGTGAAGCCAGCACACTAGACAGGCTCAGCAGCGGCACCAACGAGGTAGAGGGGCTTAGAGCGATAAACCGGGGTTCCGGTCTGCACTCGAAAGTGACCCCCATAAGGCGGCTGCCATTGTACGCAAATTTGACCACACGTCACATGACCAAACCAAATACGTGACGTCACAGGAAAGATGGCAACGCCCATGCAGCGGCTGGCCCCAGCTGGGCCGGAGCTTGTCAGATGCTTTGTTGGTTGTCGTTCCTCTCGGCGAGTTGATTTCAGACGCGGAAGCCGTCATATGAAGCCGGTCGAAAGCGAGTTCAGAGTTCAGCGTGGTGTTTGACGTAGGTATAACGTGAAAATACGGAGGAACGGTGTGCATTTCGCTGGTGACCGACCGGGATATTGCCACGGAAGAGACAATCTGACCTACGTTGCTCGGACCTCGGATTTATTCGGATACCGCTAGGATAAAATTTAAGGCGACGTTTCTGTGCTCTCGTTGACCATCGGAATCTTCGAGGTTTGCAGTGAAGCGTGTGCAATATATTTGGATACACAGTTTAGCTACGGAAATTGCGTGAGTCGTGATTGGCGGTGTGCAATCGTGGTGCAACTTCGATCAAACGACCGAGGGCTCACTTCGGTTGTGCGGCGCACCGGAAGGCTGCCTTGAAGCTGGTAGTTCCCGTGCCGTGCTGAATGATGCTGTGCTGCTTACAAATTGTTCCGGCGTAGAAGTGCACTTTCACGGAGCACAGGTGTGCGGCGCACCGAAGAGCTGCCTTCAAGCTGGTAGTTCCTGTGCCATGCTTAGGTGATGCTGTGGTGCTTCCGAAAGTGTTCCGGCGTAGACGTGCACTTTCACGGAGCACAGGTGTTGCAGTTCCCCGCTGGTCTGTCGCACGTTTCGTCAACACAAACGTTTCATCCACACTCGTTACGCGAATTGCAAGCTGTCCGGACATTTCATCGAGCGTGTTACGTACCCAGCTCACGCCGCTTTGTGGCAACAGTCTGCAGTGGCTCATTACCAGAAAAGTGGTCCCACGTCCATTTCAGTTCAGTTCGTCCACGGCAGTCGCCAAACCCTGAAGAAGAGGATTTATTCAGACAGAATGCCACTAAAGCAATGCAGCTTCTTCAGTGGTCAGGATAGATTCTCTTCTGCGAGTTTTGTTATACTGTCACGGATCCTTGTTCCAGTCCTATCTTCTATCAATATTCACTATTCTGGGGCACTGCAGGTCATGCTCAGCTGTAATCGTATGTTCTGGTGGAGGTGCTGGGCACCCATAGCCCTTCACTCTGTGTGAACCCGGCGGCTCTTCAGCCGAGTTACTCGATAATGGGACACGGCTGGCGGACTATCCTGCGTCTTATACCCCCGTCGAGCCGTAAGCAAAGTCCTGACCCGAGCCTGGCAGAACAACCGCAAGACGACCGAATACCACAAGGAGTAACCTCGGAAATACACCACGAAGCACCAGCCAGTTGCTGCTACCAGGAAAAACCACCGGAATTCGGTCTCCTGTCAGAAAATCCGAAGCTGACTAAGCCAACAATGACAAACCTGTAGCAGCAAACCGTGTCCCCTCCCACCATTGTTTGCATGCCCGTCGCAAATCACACTCTCCCTATAAAAATGGCTTCCGCCATTCAATATACATCTGACTGACATTCTATTGCCCCTATCGCCATTCGATTGCTCTCGCTTGCAATTTATGGACACGGTATTACCCCTTTATTGAAGTTTGGCACTGACGTGGTAGGCGCTACAATGGCAATCAAATGGCGAAAGAACCCTTTAGCGTCTTTTTATTGGCAGGTGTCAATACAGAATTCGGGTATCGTCTTTTTATACTCATCCTATTGTCAATCAAGCGCCCCCGGTGGCAGTGCAATACCGGCCAAATTCTGCTGCAAGTAAATCAAACTTTAGGTACCAACCATAGTTATAATATACGCTGGAGGTTCAATTGGCTCTTGTGTTCCGTGGCAAATTGAAGAAAACCATACATGGTAAATTTCTTCCAAATTGTAATTTAATTACAATTACAATCATTTCGCTCCAAAAGTAGTTTAACCATAATTACAACTACTAATATGTGAAAAATAATTCATTACAATTACAAATTACATCAAAAAGTAATGCAATTACTTTACAATTACTTATTTCTGGGAGCGACCATTTTCGTCTATATAACTTCAAACAACATGTTAAGGATGCAACGCATTTCTTCATTCCTTGCCCAAATGTTTGAATCGCCGAATATATGTCACGAATTGTACATTTTTTTTGTAAATTTTCTTAAATTAATGAGAGGTTAACAATTTGGGATAATGAAATCCTACGTTCTTATATTTTCAATAAATAATAATAAATTAGTTTATATACACGAAGACACCAGATCACTAAAATAAAATTGGCTGACACGTACACTTTTGTTAGCCAGGCAAATAAAAATGTGACAATTAGCCATATCTGAATATTTTAATAGTGTTAATATATGACTACAATCTACATCCACACGCGCTAATACAACCATATTTACAGACAAACGTTTCATTTTTTCCTAAATTATTTACAGTGAGTTGAAATCACAATGGCTCAAAATTTATAAGACCCGAATATGGGCTCCCGAATCCATCATGACAATTTCCACAGGTGCGAAGTCAGCTCAAAAATGCTTATGCAAATAATATGTGAAATAAAAATAAACGTGAAAATAATACAAAAAAAATGCGACAGTACTCAAAGAGGGGCGCAAAAAAACTGGCAAACAAATAAATAAAAAAAAATTACTTCATAGACCCTTAAAAACCTCAGCCTCGGCGGCCTTTTTTTTTTTTTTTTTTTTCGGACATTTTGTTTTGTTGGGACATTTGACGATATTTACGACATTTCTTTTTTATGACTAACACCGAAAAGAGAAAAGAAAAATGCTGTCGACGACAGTGCTAAAAGCGCGAGCTCGTTGCTTTGGATCGCGCGCCACGAGCGCTCCAGCATCGGGTGCAGTCATGCCAGTCAAGGCTACTCGCTCGCTGCTTGCACGGCCTTCGCCGCTTTTCTATGCAAGGGTGATAATCCGTCGTACTGCACACAAGTACAGCTCCAGAAAAATGCGTACGAAATTACTGCGGCTGGGCTCTGTCGCCTCCGGTACACGTAATCTTCATTTGCAACAGGAGTGACGGACGGCACCGGGCGAAGTTTGAAAATGGAGAACGCTTATTTTGATGTTCCTAAGAAAGCGACGAGTACAGGCGGCAATGTTGACAACACGCACCAGCGCGGACACCGCCGAGCCGCCGAGCCGAGCACCCGGCCACACACACGCCGAGCGACCGACATTTCACAATGCAGTCAGCGGCATCCAAAGAAAACGTGTTGTTGACGTAAAAATAACTAAGATGTCAAAATAAAAGCTGCTATTTTTACGTCCGTGACGCCATTGTCCACGCCCCCTGGATATCCAATCGGTGTCGAAAATACGCAGCCTCCGATTCCAAACCGAAACTAAAATCCCGTCGTAGTTGTGTGACTAAGCGAAGTTTCATATCGTGTATAAAACTTTTATTTTAATACATTTGTTTTAGTTTTTTAAGTTTGTTAAAACGTTTTATTGTTTCGGTTCGCCACTGTTTTACGAATAATGTTACGTTAACTTTTTTATTTTCGCATTTATTATGCACCTCGAAACAAGTCTTTTACAAGCCAATCCAATCCACCCTGAACTTCATGTGCGTCGAAGCTTCCGAAGCTCTGTTGCGGTTTGGTGTGTCTTTTATTTTTACGTAGAACTCATATCGATCCGATATGCCGCGTCCGAGAATGGATTTTGCGACTAATAAGTGGCGAGGCACCACGCGAGCAAGAATGAACAGCCCTGGAAGTTATGGGCACTGCTCAATTGGCTCATTCCTCGGTGCTTCTCGAAGGTAAGCCTTTTTTCTCTGTGTCCTCCTAAGCTTCCGTTCAAGCATCTCCTTGGTTTGTTCCCTTGCCCTGCCTTTGCCTAATCGCGCCCGAGCAGTGTATTCTGACAGGTATTTTCCTTAGGCGAGCATCTCTTCTCGCGCTTTTCGTCAAACCGTCCGACGGGTTGTGAGTTCTAATCGCGAAGCCATGATTCGGTCACCCAACACGTCGGTCGACCTGTCAAACGTTTTATCGCACGTGGGTCGTCACTTCGCGTCGGCACGCATCGCTGCCTACCCATATCTGTACTGGCCAGGTTTCTTTGTCGGCCCACGCGTCTTATCGCTGTGGGTGATCTCAAGCGACGCGAGCGAAACGCGTAAAAAAAAGAAAACATTGTGGTTGGAGCCGTTTGATCTACTGCGCTATATATATATATAGAGAGAGTAAAGCTATACGCACTCCGGAGTGCACTTCGGACGGAAATGGCTATACGCACTCCTCCGAGAGATCATGCCGCTCGGGCCACGAATTTAGAACGGCGCGTGTGTCACTGGGGAGCTCGTTAACACAGCCCCCCGCCTGCGTTCACGCCGCTTCGCGGCGACAGTATCGGCTGCTAATTACAAAGCGTAACCAGTACACGCCGCTTCGCGGCGTCCAGCCGGCGATCCAAGCCCCGCTGTCCCCGATCGCACCTCGAAAGGGGGTCCCATACCATTTAGTTTTGCGAAGTTTCTCAACAACATTCGATTTTTTTTTTGTACTGTTTATCGCAAAAAAAAAAAAAAAATGTCCTAAATATCGCCAAATGCCTCGACAAAACAAAATGTTTGAGAAAAAAAAAAAGAAAAAAAAAAAGCAGGCCCACTGCGGATGGAACCCGCGTCCACTTGCGTATGAAGCGGACACCTTGACCCCTATGCCATGCCTCCGCTTAGAAAATTCGTTGTGACCACTCGTTTTATGCGAGAAAAGCGGAGTGCGTATAGCCATTTCCGTCCGAAGTGCATTCCGGAGTGCGTATAGCTTTACTCATATATATATATATATATATATATATATATATATATATATATATATATATATATATATTATTTATTTATTTATTTATTTGGACACACAAAACAGACGGGCACTAATTAACTTCACTAACATGCTCACATACTCTCCACTTGTCATGATTTTTGTGTGGGCTTTGCCCGATGATGCTAGTGAGTCATTCTCGTTTCAAGTGGAGTGTCCAAACCATTTTGCACGCATGTGCGGACTCTCGGGATTTGCAGAAACTGGGAGTCTGCAACACCTGCTGTCCTTGTCTTTTTTTCTCCAGTTCATCTTTTTTCCTTGTGCAACAGCAGACTGTCGCACAAGAGCGACATCTTTTTCATGCGTGGTGTCACCTGAACCGTAGAATGCTCGCTTCATAGTGTGGCCCGTGAGGCTGTGCGCTTTCCGCTGTCTGCTTTCACGAACACAAATACGGTGATGTACCCAGAGTGCACCGCTCGCTAGCCTTGCGTGAGTACACTCTATATGTTATATGTTGTTCAAAGTACCTTTATGCATAGCTGATCCAACCTGCATTCTCTTTTGCCATTGCCGGTAGCAAATTGTGTCTGTTTAGTATTGCACACCTGACAACTTCCCCGTATTACCCAGAAATCTCTTAAATTTTGATCAGTTTGTATGATTGACAGAAATACTTCCCGAAAAGAGAAATTACCCTCCCCCTCTCTTTTGTACTAAAGAAGAGTTTTTGCCATCACTGTGGACGGCTGCAATCCCATGAGCATAGGCCGTGCAATATATAAATATAATGAAGTTGTCTTCATGCAAATTTGTTCCCAATATTTCTTTTTAAAACACCCCCCCCCCCCTCCCCTGCTTAGAAATTATCCCAAATTTGGTGTCCCCAAACTTGGAAGGTGTGGTACTGTCTGTGCCTTTTCTATCTTGTGTCATTTATGTAACGTAATATATCTGTTCTTCATATTTATAATCGCTGCAGGCCTGGTCAAGGAGGAGTTGCTCAGTGAACTACTAGTTTGAGTTCCCTGAGACGGACACCACTGACATCACCTACAGTGCCGAGGTACAGGCTTAATGGCAGATACCAATAGGAGATGATGGTAAGCTGTCCTGTTTATTTAGCAGTTTCGGAGTAACTCACTTGAGTTTTCATCACTGTTTTCGCTGGAAGTTTGTTGCCTGCACACAAAAATGGTCCATTAATTGTCCATGTCCATTAAAATTGATGCAGCCTTCACACTTCTGCGGTTTAGAGCGATTCGCAGACATATGTCGATCATAGCTGAAACAGCGTGGCTCATCATTAGAGTTGAATGCTGAGTTTCGCTTGGCAACTTTCTGGCCACTTCGATCACTACAAAACATTACTTGCCTTCGCAGGTACGCGTCACGTCTGTTTGGTTGGACAGCCACCAAGTTGACTTGGATGTCAGCGCCTGTTGTCATCAGAACCTGGTTCTTGTGATGCCACATCATTTTTGGTGGTGGCGCTGTCGTCACCTCCCAACGCTTGCGCTCCCCGAGTTCTCATTCAAGATGGTGAGTGGTATACTTGTGGGGGCCTCGCTGCTGCAGGTGCTGCCATGTAGCTCTGGCTCGTGGTGGCTCCCCCGCCATCATTTGTGCTCCCTGTGATCCCAGCCGGAGTGGTGACAGGGATTATGGAAGGGCTCTTTGTCGCAGGTGCTGCCACGGACTTTGGCTCGTGGGGGTGCCGTCGCTACTGACAAAGCCTGTGCTCCCCGTCGTCCCTGTTGAAATGGTGGCTGGAACTTGGAGAGGGTTTGCTGCCACAGCCGGTCAGTTCAAGTTCCTCACATTCTGCCGTAGCCCTTGGGAATTCGTTCCTTCCATGTTGAGGTTCTAGTAGGAGAAGTCCACCGCTGTTGAGCTACATGTCACCACAGCAGTCAATCTGCACAGGGGCATGGCCACGTGACCACACTTCTGAAATGTTAGAGCCTTGTTGTGGACATGGAGGCCGGTGTGAGAGATTTAATATGCGTCTGGCACATCTGCCCGGCGAAAGAACTCATGGGTGTGCCACATGGAAAGTGAGCAGACTGTGCAAGTCTTTTTTACAAAATGGCGCTAACAATAGGTAGTGTCTGAATCATTCTTGTCTTACGTAGGTGATACTTTCTAGGCGTAATGTGTTAGTAGATAGCTATGGTGTTATTGCTTAACTCTGAACAAGATACAAAGTATGAGACATTTTCAGGCCAAGTAAAAAATTTCTGCTCACTTTAATCTTGAAGATCTTCCAGAGTTTCACATCATCCAGCAATCCTGAAGGCGATGCACCACATGTAATTATAATTAATATTCCCGCTCTTAGTTTACCAGGAAGGTGTTCAAAAAATTGTAAGTAGTGTTATTTGCTTAGGAGAGCGATGTGTTGCACCTTGGCGTTCCATTCGCTTTGGGATGAGGTGCTTCATTCTTGTGCGTCCTTGGTTGTTTCCTTAGCCCCTAAAGATGTTGGAGATTTATATGTTTTATTTTTGGGGAAACCATGTTATGTTAGTATCTGGCATGCTTTTTTTTTTTATTGCTGAAAGCTGTTTGAAGTGAGCTTTTTGTCCACCTAAGAGCATAATGACTGGGAGCTTCACTCGGGTGGTTCTCATTTGAACCCTTTCGCATTTCTACCTTCTCGTTTTTACCTTCTCATTTCAACCCAGCGCAAAACAACTTTCGCGTTTCTCCCTTTCTCGTTTAAACCGTTCTCAAAACAAACTTTCGGGTTTGGACCCTTCGCAAAACGACTTTTCTCATTTTAACCTTTCTCATTTCAAATTTTCTCAAAACATACTTTCTGGTTTTGAGCATTGTCAGAAAGACTTTTCTTATTTTAACCTCTCATTTCGAACCCAAATTAATCCAACATCATGATCTTGCAATCTTTCTGCGGTATTTACGGCGAATTCGGGTAATTAATTGCCTTTGAGCCCTTGCCTGTGGCACCGGCGACCAAAAACGCGCCAGCGGCGCATCACGCGACCCTCTCCACCCGAATGCAAAGCACAATGAACTGGCGTTTTTATTTGACTGGGTCGCGAGTGAGCTCTGTTAACTTCTTCTTCGATCATTCTATGGTACCATGAGCACGCTGCATACGCCAACAACATAAACTACGACTCTTTGAGATGTGTGCAAACAGAAGCGGCTACATAAAACTTTTCAAAATATTGGCATTACCACAGTCCGTACAGCTGACAGAATATTAAAATATAAAATCAATGAAGGGGCAGATGTATAAATCAGTGTGGTGCTGCCCGCACGCGCGTCAAATTTCAATAAACTTTTTTTGGATTTTCGATTAACTGTTGCCACGGAGGCTTGCCAGCGTCGCTTTCCACATTCTGTTTACTGTTAATAGAGAGTTTTTGTAGATCGTTCCAATGACTCCGATAACGATACCCGATACTGCGCCACCGCCTCCCTTGCGCATGCATAGTATCGTTATCGGGGCTATCGGGAGTATCGGAATGATCTACTAAAACTCTCTAGTACCTTTTTTGGAATCCTCAGTCTTCTCATTGCACCCACCCTCCTTGAAACTGTAATGCGTGTTCAAGTTTCAAACTGCATCACTATGCATACTTTTTTTTCAGTGGTGTAATAACTTGTTATTACATAGTTGTAAAATAAAGTGATGTATCATGCAGCCCGTGTCTGAGAGCAAACGTACCTTGCTCATGCTGGATAAATTCTTCCAAAAATGTTGACTTTCTTTGAAACATAAATTATATTTCTCTTCGTTGTTTTCGCTATCTTGTCACAGAGCACAAAAAGGTGCCTGTTCGATGGCTTCATTTTCCACTCGAACCCGCTATTTGCCGCCTCAGCGAGCATTGTTTCGTTTGGTTCCCTATCCCGATCCGGATGTGACGATACTGGATACAGACTGGCAGACAAGCTGGCCGACCTCTTGGAGCTCGGGAAAACTTCTGCTGGTAAATAGCCGGTACACGCCTGAGAAGCGCAACCCGAAAAGCTTGCACCCGCCAGCCTTTGACCACGTGAACGCCCTTACCGAAGATATGGGAAAACTTTTTTTCAGAGAAAATGAACACCCGAATGGGCCATTACAAGCAATAACACACGACTAGCACAATGATCCATCCGCTCCACACGACGACATCTTACGACATACAGCGACAGAAGAGAAATGAAGTACCGAATCTGCGCTAGCACTTTTGAAACCACGTCACCATGTGACCACGTAGCTACGTCAACAGACTCGGGGTGGCACGCAGGCATAAGGGAAATTGTTTCATGTGCTATGCAAGAGATGGTGCCGCTTCGCTTCATCTTCAACCTTCATCCTTAACTGTTTTTCCTTTCTCTATACCTCACTACGGTGTTCAAATGACAACGGGTTCAAATGAGAAAGGGTTGAAACGCGAAAGGTTAAAGTGCGAAGGGCATTTTGCGAATGGGTTCAGACGAGAAGGGTTCAAATGAGAATGGGTTCAAATGAGACGGGTATAAATAAGAAAGGGTCGAAACGCGAAAGGTTAAAACGAGAAGGGCGTTTTGCGAATGGGTTCAAATGAGAAGGGTTCAAATAAGAATGGGTTGTTCCGAGATACACCCCTTCACTCAGGTGTGTTTTCTGGCCACACCGCAGAGCATGATTGTAAGCATCGATGCATGCTATTGATACCAAGATCGGGACTTCAGAGAGGATCAGTCAAGTCTTCCTATTTTTATTTCCATTGATTCTTTGGCATTCTAGATATCTTTTTGTAAGCGTGTTCACGTAAGCTTGTTCAACTTTCTGGGTCATAGTATCGGGTCGTTCTGTAATTATCATATGCTTTATGCATTTGTCATTAGTCTCATCTGAAGTTGTCATGGGCACATGGCTGACACATTTGGTGCTGCTTTGATTTGGAGGGTAAATATTGTCCGCCATAGGCCTAGCAAACTCCATATATTCTACACTTCAAAATTTTCTCGTAAACCTGATTACTAGGCAATAAGCTCGTTTTCAATATGTGCATTTACTTAAATTGAAAAGCCAAAAGGCTTTTAATAATCAGCCACATGCAGAATAAGAACAGTGTTTCTGCCACCTAGTGTGGGAGCAAATGGGTGGGGGGGTGGAGGCCAAAGCAGACGCAAGCAGTGTGAATACAACTCTAGGACTTATAAGCGGGGTAAGAGGAATTTGAACTGTCTACCAAGACCATGTAGCTCACACATTTAGCAGAGGATAATTGGGTTTGATTTAACAAGCTATTGGGGTGGTTGTAAAGCTCCTATACAGCCCCACATGGAGTCACCCTGCATGCACTGATCTAGACTGCTCGTTTCACATAGATTTGTGTGACCTATTGATCTAACTGCTTCTTTTATTTGCAAATTTTTGTGTTATTCAGGATAATTAGGAACCCAGCAAATGGTTGGCATGTCATGGAGTAAACATGCCATTGTACAGTGTGCTCCACTCTAAAATGTAATGCATGAGCAGTGGCCAAAGCTGATGACCCTTGTCTAATGAGGAAATCAATGATACTGCACAAACTGAAGCATATCTTCCTGGGACCGTTGCCATTCCCCTATACAATTATTGCATGACCTCCTTGTTTTTTTTTTTTTTATTGCCCTCAGTTAATTTGACGAGGACTGGATTGATGTTATCCTTAATAGGTCGGCGTGTTACGTTTATCTTGAGGTCCAATTAACGGAAAATTTGTTTTGATAAGTTAAATAAGGGGAACAACAAAATATTCAGAGCAATGTCTTTTTTTTTTTCTTTCTATTTTTTTGCATCACCGAAACATTTATTGGTCACCGCATTGAAACTGGGAGTGTAACGCACGAAGAGAACTGCAGTGTGACCCTCCAGTCTCTGCCGTCAGACGATGCACACATTCTGCAACATAAGTGCAGGATCAGCTTTGTTTTTGGGGGGGGGGGGGGGGGCGATTTTTTGAGATGACATGAAAATGTTGTGGTCATCACCATCAAAGTGATTTGTTGTCTGCATGTTCCCTGCTTTAGTGACAAGGCCACTGACAAGCCGCTTCACGGGTACTAAAATGAACCGCTTGACAAGTTGCTCAAACAATAGTGATACACAAATGGCAGTACGAGGACAAGTTGAAGAACCACAAGTAGCGCTTGTCCTATCACTTCTTCAACTTGCCGTTGTCCATAGCACTATTTGTGTTTTGCTCCTCTTCATCTGCTTCATAAAGAGCAAATATATAAGGCTGCTTAATAAAATGACAGCGTCCGTCAAATGTAAACATTTCTCTGTAAAACATATTGCCCTGGCCAAGTCCAAGTCTCGTTTTCACGATGAGTCGCATAGTGAATCGGCTAACAATGGTTGATGAATATCATGTAGTTCTACTGAATCAGTAGCATACTTCAATCTCTCTTCTGCACAAAACCTATGTTTCGGAGCGGTTGACATAGTGTTTTCTCGACAGCTGAGGGGCTTGAAGCAGGTGCTTAATGTCTGTGAGCCTCCACCATTGAAATTTTAACTTGTCACTTGCTCTAGAACTTGATAATGGAGCAATGGCAGATTTTATGAAGTTTGCGAAACCGACTTCGGAGACCTTCGAATGGGAAAGGTTTACAGGGCTAGAAAAATAATGACAGCACGTCCACACTCACAATTATCTGCAATAAAAAGACGGTGCCCAAAGAACTGTAGCTAGTTTTAAGTGTCACTCGCTGAAGCGGTTTGTATATTGTGTTAATTCCTGCATTTTGCTGTTTTTTTTCTGTTTCAGGATCCTGTGGCTTTTTGGTTGTTTCCCAATTATTGAAGGGAGTTGCAGGCTTATCATGGGCGACACAGTGCTTTGGTGAGTGTACCTTTTATTTACTGCTTGGCCAATCAAATTGAGTGGCTTTGCAGGAAACTCTACAGTTTCAGGATGTTTGAGGGTGTGTTCTCCTTCAGACATTCTGAAATGGCACAAATTTTTTTTGTGCTGCATCACTATACTCTGTTGAATGACCAGCTGAAATCGTAGTAGAAGCTACATGCTCGTTGGACCAGTCATATGTCTACCTTTCGCCATGTGTTACACTCCCGCCCATAACCATGTGCAGAAGGCGGGGTCAGGTAACGAGAGGGAGGTGGTTGATTGATCCGGTGGGTGCGTAGTTACCACCACAGTCAGCTTAGAGGTGAATGTTAATTACTCAAGCTTTAAATAGGTCACAGTACACAAAGCTTGAGGAACACCTGAGAAGTTTTTAGAATGTTTTTATTTACCGTGTCTACTCGCTCCACTAGTCTCAAACTACGTCCAACTCGGCTAGCCATCAAGCCAATTTTCTTTCGCCGCCAAGCGGCCAGGCCCCTTCAAGCCAGGCATAGCATAGCGGTACATGCTTTCACGGCTGCAAGTGTGTAGTTGCGGATGTGATCAAGAGTGAAACCGAGCGGCGCATACACGTAACAAAGCTGGGGTCGAGGAATTGCCCAGCTTTGGACATGTTTCGCCCACCGAATGCATTGATGTCAACAAACACGCGGTCATCTGTAGTGTGCTTTCGGACAGTGAAATCGTGAAAGTGGTTAGGCCTAAGGACGGTCGCGTCACTCACCATGCTGAGTGAGCTTCCCTAATAAAAAAAATCTTAAATGTATAAAAAAAATTTATGTCCAACAAACACGTATGATCCAATAAGATCATATAAGAAAATACAAGAACCTTATTAAAACATATAAGAACAATATAAAATTATATTTGAAGTTATAAGAAACTTCTTTTCAGTTTCTTAAAACTTCTTATATAATCTTATATATTTCCTATATTGTTCTTATACGTTTTTATGAGGTTTTTATATGATCTTATTTGGTCATATGCTTTTATTGGACACCTAAATTTCTTACATGCAAGATTTTTTTACTATTCACTAGGAGGGCGCTTTTCCTTTGACAGAAGGCACACCGAAAGCACCCTAAAAAAAGGTTTTCAAATTGTAGAACATGGTTATTGTAGCGCGCCCACGACCAGCCGTCAATGCGCCTCCGTCAGTGGAGACATGCCACAGTACTTTGCCGTGTCATACTGCCACCTAAAATTACATTTTCGCGAAGTGTGTAAATGCAGAAATTTACCCTGCATAATGAACGCACCCCCGAAATATATGCCAATTTCAGAATAAAGAGGTGTGTTCATTATGCGGGTAAATATGGTAAAAAAGTGAATGATGACTCAAACAAATGCAAAACTCATACATTGGAATTTGAAAAAAATCCCCAACCATATCCTACAACAAGGTCCCAACGTTTCAAAAACAGCTTGTTTTTTTCTTCAGGGGTGACTGCTTCCAGATAGGGGACAACAGCTTCGTTTTCTTTTACGATAGTCTCTTTTTTTTCACTTCGTTAGGTGGCTGAGTCCGTTCACGTAGCATGATGGCAATGTGCCAGTGGACCTATTCATGTTTCCTGGTGTTGTTTGGATATGCCATGACTATAAAAAGCTGCTGGCAGAAGTTTGTCTCAACATTTATGACGGTGTTGGCAAAGTTGATGCGATATTCATTGTCCTCACAGTGCTCTGCAACAACGCTGCGCTCGTGGTCGAATTTGCAGTTGTTTTTGTGTTGTTGAATTCTTTCTGGGAAGTTCTTTGTTTTTCCAATGTAGGTAGCATGGAATTGAATATACAATGCCTTGCGCTCTTTGTTTAGAGGGATGACCTTTAATTCGCAGCATCATACGTCAAAGTGCTGATACCGGTTTGTGGGACACCTGAATACTTTCTTTTACCAGCATACATGACAGCGCTTCGCTAGTCCCCTTTATGTAGGGAACACAGATGCGGGTGTTTGGACGGATGTTTTTGAGTTTTTAAGCTTTCTCCCGACCAGGCAGGCCTCTGCCAAAATGTTTACCCTCAAAACTTGCACTGCATGTAGTAATGGCTCTTGGTCTGCGAGAATTTTTGTTTCAGTTCTGTGTTTGTTGAGCATTATTGGGCAAATGACAAAGGCTATGCCACCTCATTATGACCATAGTAAAACGAGCTATACACTTGATAACATAGTCCTGTCATGTTTTTGCTTTGAAAAAAATGTTAACACACAAGATTAATCTATTTCTTGACCCCTTGACTGGGGACCCATGAGCAAAAAAAAATTTTTTTGTCCCTATTTTGCTTATATTTTTTTGTACGAAACTTTTCTTGTGCTACCATCATAGCTTTAATTTCTAAAGGAAAATTATTTCCGATGTTAGGGGATAGATGGTGCTTCCTCCCGTACGATAAAAAGAGTGAGCGTTTAAAGACGCACTCCCCAAACTGATTGAAGAGTGGTGCATCTATGAGTGCGCCCCCCAGGCTGCTGTTAAAATTGCCAAGCATCCAAAGATCTTATCAAAAGTAATAGATAAATCTTTGTATAAGGTGAAGTGAATATTTACATTAAATTCAAGTAATGACGCAATAACAACATGGCAGTGCCCACAAGCTGCATGCGCATGAACGAATTTCACCATCCAAATGGATGAATGACCGTTTTGGCAGAACTGGACAATAAGGAAAAGGGTACCAATATTTGAGTGTAGCTTTCTAGGGGCTATTATCATTTTAAATTGCAATTCTTATTTGCTCTTTCAGCTCGCACCTTCATGGAGTACAGCAATGTGGGGAAGCAAGTCGAGGATAGCCTCTCTCGATTTCTGTCCCGAAGGCGCTATGCTCTTCCAGGTAAGCTGCTTCCCTCTCTTAAGAGACACGAGTAGACCCTTTTATTCAAGACAAGAATAACAATAATAATCACATCAGATAAAATGGGGAACAAGGGGACAAAGGAGATTCCTCTTTGACCTTTCTCCCCCTTGTACCCCTTTTCCAGGTATTATTATTGTATTCATACTTATTACATTATTGTGGAGTTGACATTTTGACAACCTGTGGTTGGCTGACGTGTTGTGGAAGTTAAAGCTATTTCAGATTCGAACATTGTGTGAAATACAGTAGAACCCTGCTGCTGCATCTTTATGCAGTCACAATAAAGGATAATGACATCAGCGAAGATGTAACAACTGATAATGCCCTTGGGATAGCTATAGATGTTTCAGGAAGCTGTATTCTCTGTTTATCTTACCTTAGCTTTTATGGCTGTTTATTTTATATGTTGACAATTTTTTCAACACTTCTTAAAATTGTGGTTGAACTATAAGTAACACACTGTTTACAGACAAGCTTGTGTTTGCCCACAGCAGCTATGGGCACTGCATACGCAGGAACTAGATTCGTGTGAGCAGACGTGTGTACATGTGCTGTGCCGACAGCCGCGCCATCGCAGTGATGCGTTGTCTATAGTTGCAGTTAAAAAAAATATTGAAATATAAGGATGCAAAAATTCTGAGCCCATCGAGCTAAACCACAGCTGCCTCAAACAAGTCACTGCACCCAGCATGCCACATCAAAGCAGTGGGGCTTGATGCAATCAGCACTGCTTGAACATGGTGGCATGGAGGTGGTAAAGAAAAATGGGGTGTCGTGAGAGCCTGAATCTCTTATTGTCATACAGGACCAAGCAAGAAACACAGTGCAGAGAGGCAAGGAGGTAAAATAAAGGGAGTAAAGCAAGAGGAACAGGGTATAAGTTCCTAGTAGTCATGCCAACCACCTTGAGTGGCAGTGTTTGGGCATAAGAACCAAGAAGGAAATTCATGAAGCCTGTAATTCTAACACATATATACTTTTGGACGTTCGATAGGACCGGTTTCCGTGAACATAACAGCCGAGAAAACATGTGAGCAAGGTTCTTCTGTGCATATTTTTTTAATGTGCTGCAAGAATATTTCTGGTTATATGCCCACTTAATTTATAATGTTTTTCTTCTGTCAGCTGACACCTTACAGACATGTCAGGAAGCAAGGAAAGGTTATTTTTTCACTCATCGTTTACATTTGGGTGATTAACTTAGTCTTGAAAAAAAAAACACGTCATTTTAATGACATTGTGATAAATAAATTTTGGGTCTTTAAATTGTCCTTCAATCTTTGTTTTCTTCCCATATTGCAAGCCAGCACTATGTGTATCAGGCATGGAATCAATGGTAGGCCATGTAAACTATTGCAGTTTTTCGGCTGGCCAGCTTAAAGTTTACGAGGGGTTGACAATGGCGAAATGGTCACGAAATTCGATCAAATGACGTCTATGTGATAATTATGCCCTTATAAAAATGGTTGATGCCATTTTGTATTATTGCCAAATGGCAACAGGTGTTTAAGAGCAGTCAATCAGCAGGCAACAGATGTTAATCGTCATTGAGATGTCATCTTGTTGACCCAGATAGCCATTTCGCCACCGTCAACTTTTTGCCGTTCTATTGGTTATTGTCGGTGCATTGCCAGTGTATCTACATGCTAATGCTAATTGGCTATTGGAGGCAGTCAAAAGACTTTAAAATGTATAGTCCTTTGATTGCCTCCTTTAGCCATTTAACGTTAACATGTAGATACACTGATGATACACCGACAATAACCGATAGAACGGCAAAAAGTTGACGGTGGCGAAATGGCTATCCGGGTCAGCAGGGTGACCTTCTCAATGACGATCAACATCTGTTGCCTGCTGATTGACTATTTGTAAACAGCTGTTGCCATTTGGCAATAATATGACTTTCAAATGGCATTAACCATTTTCATAGGGGTCTGACGCTTTTTCACGCAAGCTGTATGAAGACGTCAAGGACTGGATTGAACAATATGACAGTGTCGCCCGCCACACTGGGTGGACAGACAACCAGCTCCTGCAGAACCTATACTTCTCGTGGAAGAAACTGCCGGCGCTGGTCTGAGAACCATGGATCCTCCTTAACGTCATGGGAAGTTTGCAAGATCGAGCTGAAGCGCGCATTCTTCAGCCACCATCAACGAGAGAGAGCCGCATTCTTGATTCTGTCCAGGACACTGCCCCAACGAGAGCGCCACCGCACTCGTGGAGGATGTTTTGCGCTTGATCGAGCGCCCGCACCCACGCCGACCTTGATGCTACAGAAGACAAGAACCTAAGAATCCCATGCCCCTCACGTGAGGGACAACATCTTCGGCAGCCTTGTCCGCAACCCCCAACAACAGTTGAAGTGTTCATATCACCGAGGCTTACAACATGGAATGTGCACTGCATGCCCGAGCCTGCCACTATGAACAACTTCCTGGCGTCTCGACACTCGAGTTGTCCAGCTACTACTTCGACGCCAGCCTCCCAAGCATCCACGACATCATCCACGACGTTGTCTGGGAGGAGATCAGGAAGTTACTTCCTGCGATCAGTTGCCCGGCTTTTATTTTGATTGCCGAGATTGTTTCGGAACAAGTTTGACAGGTATTTCAACCGAGACTTCTGCGAGCGAAGCGGCATCTGACAAACCAAGGGCAACTTACGCCACAATGGCACGACGACCGCCACCGGCTGCCCCTTAGTATTCAATGCCAATTCAATGAGACACTCTAACGCCGAAGCATTCCCGACATCATGTGTAGGTCTGTGCTCAACAAAGTTCACCGAGGAAAACGTAGGTGATGCGAATGTGCGACCGAAAACCACTTTGCTACCACTGCATGAAGCCGACCATGTCTACCAAAGCAGCCCGTACCAATGAATTGGTCTGCGAGGGTTCGTGCCAAACGACCCTCGATTACGTCTCGAGGAGCGACCACGGGAGATTAAGGATTACCTTCGGCGACCTTTGTCCCTGATGTTGAAGGTGCCGAATCGAAGATTCTGAATCCTTGATTACCCCGAAGCTCCTCATGTCCATCACCTCAACAAGAGGTAAGCACGACAAAGCAGGTGAGCGGCGATACAGTGACAGTGGATTCGGTGTCGGTTGTCGTCCAAGGACAATACCTAAAAATTTGCTGACATCAATTTTCTGTGTCCACTCCACGGAGCACACAATTTCCAACTTTGAGGGAGAATGCCCCTGAGTGACTTGAAGGAATAGAATGGTTGGTTGCTCTCAAAAGTGAACTGCAAGCATCACCAGACTTGGATAGCAAACAGAAATTGTTGCCAGCTATCAAGTCAACGGTACAGCAAAAGGCACAGCCACGTAAGCAATACATGCCCGAGCTTGCTGCATTGATGCCGAAAACTACCAGGAAAATTTTCGGATTAGAAGCCAGCCCTGCAGCTTCAGTGCATCAGACGTCAGTGGCCGCACATGACGTATGATTACAAGACAGCATCAGTCGGTCAAAGTTGCCACTCGACCAAACTGAACACCGAAGTGCCAGGAGCGTCATCCGACAACAAGGTCCACAGGTACTACGACTGAACGCCTGACACGAGACTGTCGCAGAAAGAACTCGTTATGGAACCATTAACTAAGAATCAATAATTGTGTAATCAAGTGGAAATAAACATATTTGATACACTAACCAGATAAACATATTTCCGCTTGCCTTCATGCCTTGAGAGTCTACACACCGAGAATTGCGTCCACTGCACGCTCTGGACCTTACAAGGACACTCGCATCTCTGACCTTTAAATATTAATTAAGGGGCCATACCAGACTGGCAGACTTCTTGCAAGGGGCTGCGCTCGTTCAACCTTTCCTGAACATGTGGTGCATCCGAAAACCAACTCCAGTGATGTGAAAATGTTATTTATTAATGTATTCCTTCCAGGGGCCTTTGTAGGCATTGCAGAGAGGATACTTAAAACTACACACATGATAATAGCATTAAAGCACACTGCTGTAACTTGTTAATTGGAAAAACACACACACCTCTGAGCATATAGTTTAATAGTATGTGCTGATGCATTGTTATATAGCATGACACTTCCTATATGTATGACGCAATAGACCCTTTGCAGAACCTTATCAAGCAACACAACTGTCACCATTTTTTTCGGCGTAAAGCACACGAATGGGCCCCAGTTCACGTCGAAAGCTAATGCAGCATTCGAGTCCAATACGTGCTGAGCCGAATTCACAGGGATGGCGGACATAACATCCATGTCGAACAAATGCCCAAAGTCTGAAAGCTTGGGGTAATTACAGTAGTAGCTACTGTAATTTGTTTCATCAGAATTTGGCAGACGGCAAAGGCTACGGTGTCGGTGAGTCAATACACACATTGGAGAGAGGCACATGACAACATATCAGCAGAGTGCTCGTCTGCACAGATTTGTCACACACCTTCGCTCCGTCTCTCTGATTGGCTCGAGGGGGGTGTGGCGGTTGGCCTTTTCCAAGTTACGGTGATGCGAAGTATAGACACCCCACATTTTTGAAAAGAGTCTATTGAAGAGACCGAAAGGAATGGTAGTCAACATTTTCAACAAGACTGCTCTCCAGGCAAGGGATGAACACAAGTATGAATCATCTTATCCAGGTAATTAGAACATCTAAATAATTGACCGACTAATACAATGCACTCTTGATGGAAAAGAGTATAGCTGCAATAAATCCTACAAAACAGAAAAAATGCGCAGTGAATCTATGCATGCACCAAAACAGTTGTTCTTATAGCAAGTCGAATAGCTTTGAAGCAGGTGCCTGCAACGGTTTATTCTTCCCCATACTCAATAAAACGCCATCCTCGTAGCTGAAAATAAGGGTGCACTTCGCACTCACACACACACACAAAAAAGGAAGAAAAGCGATCGAATGTAGAATCGTGGATTAGCACAAAAGAATCGCAGGAGCTTCCTCGCTAAAAGTTGCTATGGTTGTTCGGTGATGGAGGGCTGAAACAACTTCCCTTAGGCCCTAACGCGACGTATACATTTCGCGTAGATTCTCAGATATTTCAACGTTCAAACAAAGCTAAGAGAATGCGAAAATTTTATGTTAAAAGCACTCAAAGTTCTATCGGTCCTCGGACACATCCCGGAATCCGAGCACCGGTACGGCGACGCAGAGCTGATGCTGTCTCACAGACGTTAATATCCAGATGATCCAGAGCGATCTTGCGCAAAAACGGTATAAATCTCATTCAAACGGTATAAAGCCTCATTCCTTCATATTTTCACATTATATCTGCGTCAGCGAGCACGAAGAAGCCCGAAGTCGTCGGAAAGCAGCTGCACATCACGGCTACCGCGCACCGAACAAACTCGCATCCGCCAGCTCTGGGCGCTGCCATCTTACCTGTGACGTCACGGCTCTTGGGAGGTCACGTGACGAGTGGTCACATTTGCGTAAAAAATGGCTGCAACCGGGGGGTTGCCACTTCCGAAATTCCGGTTTATCACTCTAAGCCCCTCTACCTCGTTGAGCGGCACGCATCTCTGACCCTCACTAAACCCGCCATCTTGGAAAATGAGTGGCGCCACCTATAGTTAGTTGGAGTCGCGAATCGCCGAGCGCCGCAGTCGCGAAAGGCCGCTGCCGCTTGGTTTCAACGTCAGTAAATAGATGGTAGCACGTACCGCCATTTCTCACTTTCGCATCCGCGCAGGTTGCGAAAAAAAAAAAAAAAGGGGGGGGGGGGGTGGTGCCGTATCTTCTAAAAAAGATGTTTTGTCTTCTTGGTCTCCTTGGCTGCGTATCTCCGGCACCCATTTGAAGTCAAGGGGGCGCGGCCAATGACATCACGGACGTCCAATATATATTTGGTGTTCTTTGACGTAAACACGTTTTATTTTGGATGCCGCGGACTGAATTTTGAAACGTCGATCGGTCGGCGAGTGTGTGTGGTCGGGTGCTCGGCAGTATACTCGCTGGTGTGCGTCGACGTGGCGCCTGTGCTCGTCACGTATCAATTGCCGACATCCAGAAACAGTGTTTTCAAATTTCGTTCGCCCGGTGCCGTCGGTCATTCCTGTTGCAAAAGAGGATTCGAAGTGACTACAGTACCGTGACCGTCCGACGGCACTTTTGCAGAGCGTTGAAGTGCCGTCCGACGGTACTCCACCGACGTTACTTCGCGTTAAATGCCGTCGGAAAGTCTCGTATAAAACGAATTGTCAAAACGAGATTTTCGAACCTGTAGTGTAGCTAGCGGTTAAGACGTCTGCTTCATACGAGCCGGTCG